ATCATCATCATCATCATCATCATCAGCATCAGCATCAGCATCAGCATCAGCATCAGCATCAGCATCATCATCATCATCATCATCATCATCATCATCATCATCATCATCATCATCTTCAGTCGATGTTTTCGAAGAACACCCCCGCATCATCATCATGAGTGAATTGCGATGGATTCTCAGGTGGGAGTTCTGTCTGCGGGAAAATTTCAGGCGGGAGCTCCCTCCCTACGGGGCCCGCAGTTCATGTCATTCATCCAAGCGAGCCATCAGAACCTTGTAACAGTCGTCACTTTGGGGCTCTTCAGTTTCGAATATGGTGGAAGTCTCAAGCGGGAGCCTCGCCTGCGAGTGAATTGCGAGGGAGTCTTAGGCGGGAGCTCCGTTCTTGTGGGGCCGACAGCTGATGTTATTAGTTTGACCGCTTCATCAGACACCTGTAACTGTCTTCATTTGTGGGTTCCCCAGTTTTGAAAATGGTGGACGTCTCGAGCGGGAATTTTGTCAGTGAGAGAAATTCGAGGAGGTCTCAGGCGACAGCCCCCTCCATATGGTGCCCACAGCTCATATAATTCATCCAAGCGGCTCATCGGAGCCTTGCATCTGTCGTTTTTATTTTGACCCTCGGTCCTGAATGTGGCGGAAATCTCGAGCGGGAGCATCGTCTGTGAGTGAAGACTGGGGAATCCTCAGGCGGGAGCCCCTCCCTATGGGGCCCGCAGCTCATGTTATGATTCCGAGTGGGTCGTCGGAACCTTCTAATTGTCGTCATTTCTGGCCTCTTCGAGCTCGAATATGGCAGAAGTCTTGTTCAGGAGCCTCGTCCGTGAGTGACGTGCGAGGGGAAGTCTCAGGCGGGAGCCTCCCCTGTGGGGCCCGCAGCTCATGTCATGAATCCGGGCGGGTCGTCGGCCTTGCTATTTTGGGGGTTGGTGGGGATGGGTGGAGGAGAACCAGGGGCTGGCTGATTGGTGTCATCGCTGCCGCTTCTATAGTTCATTTGGGCACGCAAGGCGCACTCCGAGGCATGCCCACTGGGAGGGACTGCGTCGAGCATTCGAGGCGGTTACGGGCAGCTCCTGGGCCCCGCTTGTGGCGTCCGGAGGCACTCTCGGTCCCTTGACGAGGGGGGGGTGCAGACGTTGCTTCTGACGGGCCGGTGTCCGACGTTTCGGATGAGCGTCTCTGGGACATGCCCCCGTCCCCCCAAAGATGGGGCAGCGGCTTTGCACGGTTGAAGACAGAGTGTCATTCCTCCGTCTCTTTTTTTTTTTTCTCTCTCTCTCTCTCTGGCGTTTTCCAGCGCTTGGGGGTCTCGAGGCCCCATCCCCGCCCGCGCAGCAGAACGCGGGAGCAGGCTCATTCTCGTCAGCTTGCGGTGTTCTTTTTCTCCCACAGGCAGCAGCGTTGCCTGAAGGGCGTGGGAAGGGCGGCGGGGACGAGGAGGGGAAGGGGGGCATAGCCCGCTCAGGATTTGTAATGTACTGGCGGCCCGTCCCAGCCAGCAGTGTTCGTTCAGTGGCACGCGAAACTCCCCTATCCTACCCTCACTCCCCCTTGCTCGCTCCTCCACCTCCCGTGCTGTGGCGTTGGCCAAGCCCTCTGGAGATGTCTTGGGGTGGGGGTTGAAGGGTGGGGAGACGGGGCGGTTGGTGGGGAAGGGACGACGACGACTTCGACGGCGACGACGTGCCGAGAAGACACTCGCTGTCGCCCCTCATCTGTCTCGCCCTCGATTGCCGCATCGAGGCACGGGGCATCCAACCGCCCATGGCTAAGGCCGCGGGCGGGCGCTGGCTCCCTGGAGTTCTGGGGACTTCGGAAGCACCTGCCTCCGTCGTCCCTCTGTTCCTTCCTCCTCTCGGCCTTCATTCTTCTCCTGGGTGCTTCCTTACTTACTCCCATGTTTGGGGTCTGGCGGCGAGCTTTACTTGGCCTTCAGGCTTCTGTGAGCAACTAAGCAACTGAGGAGGAGGAGGGGGAGAGAAGGAGGAGGAGGAGGAGGAGGAGGAGGAGGAGGAGGACAAGCTAGGTGCGCTCGCGTCATATCTGACGTCCTACCCCTCCCTCCCATCCCTTACCATGGCGCTGATTTTCTCTATCCGCGGACGCGTGTCGTAGCGGACCTGTGGCTCCGCGCGCGCGTGCGTAGTGGGTGGTGGTGCGCGTGCGTGCGTGCGTGCATGTGTGCGTGGTTGTGGTGGTGGTGGTGGTGCTGCTGCTGCTGCTGCTGTGCTGGTGCTGGTGCTGGTGCTGGTGCTGGTGCTGGTGCTGGTGCTGGTGCTGG